TCAGCTCGAGTTACAAAATCGTTTTCAGTGCCTAGAAAATTGCAATGCAGTGGACGATATAAATGACAAGCTTGTGGAAATTGTCGATGCGGTCGGAGTTAAGTTCTGTAAGACCCGTCGCAGAAGAAAACAAAAACTCCGATCACACTCTTAATCTCATGGATGTTAGACGGGAGATGAAGCTGCAGTCGTCAGCAGATTTGACAGCATACAGGCAACTGAACAGATAGATCTCCAAATACATGCGGCGGGACCTACGACACCATTACGATGATATCCCGGACGTCAGTCTGAGCGAGATTAGAATGGTTCTCCAGCACCTTAAAAAACGGAAAGTTCCCAGGCGAGGATGGAATTACAGCGGAGCTTCTGAAAGCAGATGGAAAACCGATACTTAGTCCTTCAGAAGCTCTTCAATTACGTCCTCCATGGTGGCACTACTCCGGAGAGCACAATTGCGGTGGTCTTGTTCTTCAAGAAAGGCAACAATGCTTTCTTGAAGAACTACAGACCGATTTCCCTTCTGAGCCGCGTCTACGTGCTGTTTTCGAGAGTCATTACGAATCGTCCGCAAGCAGACTTGACGACTTCTAGCCTCCCGAACAAGCCGGTTTCCGAAAAGGCTTCGGTACCATAGATCACATACATACCCTGCGGCAGATTGTACAGAAGACCGAAGAGTACAATCTGCCACTTTACCTGGCGTATGTGGACTATGAGAAAGCCTTTGATTCCGTCGAAATTTGGGCGGTGCTACAGTCCCTTCAGCGGTGCCAAGTTGATTGTCAGTATATCGAAGTGCTGAAGTGTTTGTACAGTAGGGCTACGATGGCTATCCGAGTACAGAACCAGAGTTCGAATCCTATCTAACTTCAGAGAGGTGTAAGACAGGGTGACGTTATATCCCCCGAAACTCTTCACCGCTGCATTGGAAGACGTTTTCAAGCTACTGGACTGGAAAGGATACGGTATTAACATCAATGGCGAGGACATCACTCACCTTCGATTTGCCGACGATATAGTTTAAGCACTATGCTCAATGACCTCAATAGTGTCTCCGAACGGATAGATCTTAAGATGAACATGGACAAAACGAATGCCATGTGTAATGACCATGCCACACCTATGCCGGTGGCTGTTTGAAGCACTAATCTCGAAGTTGTTGACGAGTATGTTTACCTGGGACAAATAGTCCGACTAGGTAAGACCAACTCCGACCGAGAGGTCAATCGACGGATTCAACTCGACTGGGAAGCGTTCGGGAAATTGTGAGACATCTTCTCGTCACGCTTACATCAAAATTTCAAAACTAGCTTGTACAATTAGTGCGTGTTGCCAATGATGACCGAATCTGAGACGTGGTCCTTCACTGCCGGCCGTATAAGGAAGATCAAAGTCGCTCAACGAGCTATGGAGAGTGCTATGCTCCGCAGTAGAACCAGAGTAACCGACAAAGCCGAACGGATTAGTAAACTGAAGTGGCAATGGGCCGGCCACATAGCTCGAAGAACCGATAACCGATGGGGAAAAAAGGTTCTCGAGTGGCAGCCTCGTACCGGCAGGCGAAGTGTTGGGCGTCCCCGCACTAGATGGAGTGACGACCTGGTAACACATGCAGGAAGTCGATGGATGCAGATGGCTCAGGACCGTACTTTGTGGTATTCCTTACAGGAGGCCTATATTCAGCAGTGGACTTGTGAATGGATGTAATGATGATGATGATGGAAATAATATGCTCTCTATTAGATGATATCTCACATACAGATGATAGAGAGCAGCCATACCACAGGCATCAACATTTTGAGCATTGACCCTTTGCTCATCAACTCGCTTGGTCATTTGGTGAGATGTTATACAAGGTGTAAGTGTAAACACCGTTGGCACTAAAACCATAGGAAGTTGGCTTTAATATAAAAATATTTATCCGAATTTCAAAACAAAAGCTAATTTCTTTCATAAAATTTAAAAAGTTTCTGTCCGACACCGTCCGTAAATTCATGGATACCCTATGCGCCCGAGTGACGTAATCACTGTAAAGATCACCGCCCACCCTAGCTACCTACACAACATTCCAATAAAAACACAATAGGTACACATAACCTGTGAACATTGTTTAGATGTTTAGCTTACTGTTCTTGCTTACATTTGTTAAATCTATATGTCAATAAAATTTATTATTTGGGTTATTGATAGAGTAATCACATCTGGTTAGACTGGATAAATATATAAAAGGAAAAAATAAATATACTTAATTATATATTTAATATACTAACATAAATAAATAAATAATACATAAATAAATAAAAGCCCAACCAGATGAAAGCCCTCAGCAGGGGAGACCAAACGGCTGAAGGTTAGGGGGAAAGGGAAAGAAACCGGCGGACGATGCGGGCGGTATCGAGGAGCACCGCCTTCTGCATTTGAGCCCGGAGCGGTCCGTCACGGAGTCCCAGTCGCCTCAGATGGCCCGAGAGGCTGGTTGGGATTAACCCGTTTGCAGAGACGACTACAGGAATAATTTCGGTCGGCAGACCACCCCACATGTCGGTCACCTCGTGAGCCAGGTCCAGATATTTTGATTGCTTATCTGTTTCGGCTTTCACGAGGTTCTCGTCATACGGAATGGTAATGTCGACCAAAAATATCCTTGACTGTGCCCGATCCATCAGCACAATATCAGGCTTATTCGCAATAATAGTCCTGTCTGTGATGATGGCCCGGTCCCAATAGAGCCTGGCGCGATCATTTTCGAGCACAGCTTCCGGCAAGTACTTGTAATACGGCAATTTCCGGTCCACGAGACCGCATTTCAGAGCGAGCTTCTGGTGTAGAATTCTGGCTACTAGGTTGTGCCTGTGCAAGTACTCAGAGTTAGAAAGCGCCGAAAAACCGGAGATGACATGCCTAAGTGACTCACCGGGATGGCGACAAGCTCGACAAATGTCGATGGTGCCATCCTTTAGGATGTATCTCCGATAGTTGTTGGTCTTAATAACCTGATCCTGTATTGCACAGACAAAACCCTCGGTTTCCCCAAAGAGGTCACCGAAACGTAGCCAGTTGAGGAAGGCGACTGTATCTACGAAGGGCTCATGTAGAGCCCTGTAGTAGTCCTTCCATACGGTCTCTCGGTCGGAAATGCTAAGCACTGCTGGGTCCTGCCATTGCTCGTTGGCTAAGGGTAGAGTGGTAAGCCCTTTATCAATAGAAATGACGTCATTATAGAATGGATCATCCGATCTCGCCAGGAAGTATTCACGGTGGCTGCACACTTCGCAATTATGCATGGTGAGCGCGCTCAGAAAGCCACGCCCACCATGCTTTCGCGGCAAGTACAGCCTCATTACCGACGATCTCGGATGATGCGTCCTGTGGGATGTCATAGTAGTGCGGACTTTTCTATCTAGGGCGTTAAGTTCAGTCTGACTCCACCTGAGTATGCCAAAGGTATACATAAGGACAGGCATGACCCAGCCATTATATGCGTGTGTCTTATTCACACCGGACAAAAGGCTGTTATGCACTTTGGTCAAGCGTGCATAAAACACGTCGCAAACTGACTGTTTCATACCAGCCTCATCGATACCGATGTTCTGTGACATACCCAGGTATCGGTATGTTTCAGCCTCGGAAAGGGTCCTTAAGTTGACGGGCATAGATAAGTCTATGCCCTCACAGTTAGCAACCCTTCCCCTTTCAACATGGAGGACCGCATACTTATCCGTCCCCAGCTCCATTCGTGGGAGACTATTCCATCATCGTCTGAATTAACCACAAATGGATAGACGCAGCACACGCAGTTTGCTGCGCATCTAGTGGCGCCGCATTCCCAGTCGTAGCATTTTCATTCGTTGAGGGAACAGCCTCACGTCGTAGTCGTTCGATTTCGGCGTCTCAAAATATGTTGGAGTGCAGGATGTACCGAACTCGGTCTGCCAGGTTTTGCTCAGTGACGGATAGAGATGGCTCCAGCTCTGCAAAAAAGCGATGCATCCGAGCCCGATACGCCAAACATCCTGTTTCTTCCCCTTTTGCCCTAAAGTACGCCCGCAGTGCGTTTGCGTTCATTAATTGTGACCAACGCATGTAACGTGCTCCACCAGCGGCGGGTGCCGCTTGCTGAGTTGCCGAGAAGACTCAGCCGACACCAAGCCTTCTAGTGGGGATGATGGATGCGGGCGGCTGCTAGGTGGTCTTGCAGCACCCCACGCTCGGCTGGCGGCCCGCATGCTGTCGCGTCCAGCGCCAGCTCCAGACACGCCCTGGCGACCTCCAGGCAGCGGCCCTTTGCGCACTTTTTTTCCATCATCCATGAATTGGGCGTCCATTAACGGGGGACGCCCAGGCCCGGCACCGTATCGTGTACGGCCATAAGCACAAACGGGTCTTTGCACCCTAAATTCTGGTGAGGCATGGCGCTCACACCTCTCGCAAGGCGCTGACTGACTGCGTTGACGTAGACGTTTTGTCACTTAACTGTTACGTCAGCGGGCGATGGGGTCGTCAATTCCCTACGCCTTAAAATTTATTATTAACTTTTCTTTACTGGAATTTACTGTGCCTACGCGCCTAGGGTGAAATAATTTTAAGGAAAAATTGTGAACGTAAATTCAATGAAAAATGTTATTATTTTTCATTGAATTTACGTTCTATAAGTGAAATCAAACCACTGGTTTCAAGGATAACTGTGTTTACACTAACATCCTGTATATACAAGTTTCGTGAGAGAGAGCGCTATAGTCATGTATTGTGTGTAGGCCGGGGAGCCTGGGAACGTAAACGCATGATATGTGTGTTTGGGTGGTTTGTGTGTGTAAGTCAGATGGCCTAGAAATGTACACGCGTGTTGTGTGGCGACCGGGTGATTGGAAGAGTACGGACGTGATGTATGTGTAATCGGGACGGACTGGGGATGTGCCCACATGTTGTGTGTAGGCTGACTTGCGTGTAATTTGTGCGGGTGTTGTGTATGAAGGGCGAGCCGGGAGAGTTCTTACGCGTTATGTGCGGCGGCGCTGGAAGCTGGCAGCGATGCGGTAGGCGAGGAAGGGCCAGGCGGCGAGCAGCAGCAGCGTGGGCACGCTCAGCTCCTGCCACGGCCAGCGCCAGCCCGCGCCCACTCGTGACACTTGCTGCAATAAACTCCTATTTTAACTCTCTTTTACTCGTGTCAATTAACCCTCAAGCACTGACGTGCAATTTAGTAACACTAATACTGACGTACGTATGACATACGTCTATGATTTTAAAGACCTCTTGTGCATCGATACACTGTAAATATTGTGATGTGTATTTACATTTTGGTTAAAAATATTTAATATAACCTAGGGATATTAAAAAACAGTTAAGATAATTAAAGCAAAATATTTATTAATCAACGGCCTTAGAAGTAATGAAATTAACATAATATTTTTTTAAATCAACTAAAAAATAATTTTTAAGAATAGGAACGTTTATTATTAGTTTTGTTACTTACTAAGGATAGGAATCACATAAATAATGAAAATGAGGCACTTTTTAACAACAGTTGTTGCAGGTCGGCTTAGAGCACTGCAAACATACTGGTTTACCGCATGCTTGACAACCGTATCTTGTTTTGCGACGTTTTAGTTTATAACACATATAGCAATTCTTCATGGTTTCAAATTTTATAATTTCATGACTTGGTTGACCCACTTCGGTAGCCATATCTTCGCTCGAAGTGCGGCTTTACTAAGCTTTTTCCAAGATTTTTCATGAAACTCAGACGATCCGAAGTATTATAATTTGACATTGACATTCGAAATCCCGCGCACGTCAGTGGGTCATCATACGTACGTCACATACGTACGTCAGTGGTTGAGGGTTAAACATGCGTAATCTTTAAATTTGGCCAAAAAACACATTTAAGTGAGAAATTCTGACGGTAAAAGGCTTAAAACGCTCCCTTCTACGCTGCATGCATATTTGTCGAGCAAAAAGTAACATTGCGACATTCGGTGGACAAAAGATACTGTATTTGAAATGTTTTTACTTTATAGTAATTGTCAGGAAATATGTTCAGCTGTGTTAATTTAGAAAATACTTAAATTAAATGTAACCAATTAAAAATCTTATTCAATGCATGCCTTTCCGTTATCATTACAGCGTATTAAAGTCCACAGCTGAACATAGGCCTCCCCCATAGATTGCCTTACAAGGGGGATATTTATCATAGTTGCCATGCTTGGCAAGCGGGTTAACAACAGCTTTTTTTATTTTTAGTCGTTATAAGGAAGACGCTGCTGCCCATCTCCATATTTGTTTCCCTCTGTCGCCTCTTACGAGACTCACGGGATGATATGGGGTAGTGGATATTCTTACACTACTCACACTACACGATAAATGATGCCGAATAAATTTGCGTAATCCTCACATTTAATCAGGAAAAAGGTTAAGAAACATAATTTGTCTCTCTATCAACCATAAATGGTAACGAAGATTTCATTTATGATAAACCACATACATGATAAATTATATAATTCGTGCCAAATCGATTGAGAAAAACGGACATTGACAGTGACAGTGGTTACAAACCTTCAATATATAGGCACATTTTATATGTAGTACATTCTTTATTTATAATGATTTTTTTATTATTTTTTATAATGATTCACATAATATATATTTATTAACTATTATTAAAAAGTTATGTAAAAGATCGCTGTAGAAGAAGAATCATCTATTGTTATAAAGTACTTTATTCATTTAACAACAAAAAGCATTAATTTATAACACACAAAGATTCGAGTGATAACGACACCGAATAAGTACGTACTAATTCAAAAGCATAGAATTATTAGGCTTAGAACCGCAGTAGGCGCAGGCAAAGTGCGTCATTTCAAGTTATCCTTTTAAGGCTACGTGCGATTTTCGGCGCGTCAGTACCCGAGTCCACGTAGTCGTGTAAAGAGCTCGCACAATTTTGCGAAAAAATGACGTACTATGCTGTGAAAGGGTATCACAACTCATCACATAATCATGAAAAAAAATCTCATTTCACGGGTCAGTACTGCCTAGCATCTTATATTTTTGGAAAATACATTAATCAAAACAAAATAATAAATCGTAAATTTGACAGACGCCAATATAATGAAAATGTTGCTAGACATAGTAAAATATTTTACCCCATATTTTCTTATTATTGTAATTACATACTGCCAATTCGGCACTATCATTATTGTATTTTTATTTGGCATATGATATAGAAAATACTTACAATATTCATGCATAAGTAGGTATTTTTATTTATTGTTTTAGTACTTGGGTATATAGTTATTTAAGAAATATTTTTTATTTCATGTTTTATGTGAAAAGCTTTTCTCCTTCTGAATCTTATTGCGTTTTAATATAAAATCCCCATTCAATAAAGTATATTATATATGTATTATTTATATTATTATATAATACAATGTACTTATATAAATATATCACTTCTAACAGAATAATATAATGACATAATATATTTGTGAATATATATTATATCACAAGATATTAATTATATAAATAAGTTAAATAAAACAATAGTTAACAAATATTTTAATATAAAATGCCTATTCAATAAAATATATTATATTTATATAAATATATCACTTCTTACAGAATGATATAATACTACATAATAGATTTGTGAATATATATTATAGCACACGACATTACGTATATTAATAATTTAAATAAAACATTAGCTAACAAATATAAGCAATTTTACATTTCTCTCATTGCAAATAATTAATAAATAATTCTAAACGCAATCTAAATATTAATTCTGTGACTATGTCTACTATTACAATTTCCCCATTTTTTGGGGAAAACGTCATTTACTTGCAAACCTTATTCAATTGCTTGTGTGCGTGTGGGCTAACGTAATTATAGGCCGCTTATGCACACATTAATTGCGTTGTTGCTTCAACTTTGAACGGAATTTTGAATGACACTATCACTCTAAGTCTAATTACTCTATGTTTTAAAGATAAAACTTTATTTTCAATATTATATAAGAAGTTTATTTTTATTCGGTGCATGCGGAACGGCCCAAAAAAAGTGACGCATCTCTGGCTGCCATTGTCACGTTTCTTTTAGAACGAACTGACGTAACGCGCGTTTTGTTTGTTAGACCATCGTGCACTTTCTAATTCTTGCGTCACTTCTAGAAACTAGACACATAAACAAAAATAAGTTTTGCTCTTATAGTCCGTTGGCTTTTACCAATTCATACTTAACTGCCAATGCAAATGTGTTCGCGTACACTACACAGAATTTCTCACCTCCTCATAATGGGTGCGTTTGGCAGAAAAAAGCGCTAGCAAGCGCTTATAAGCGCTAAAATAGTTTTCGGCCAGGACACGATTGCTACTTCAGTAGCGCTGACACAATCCGCCATTTTGCTTATTTAATTTTTTTGTTTTAAAGTAGAGTATAAGTTGTTTTGTGCAACATTAATTTTAAGTAATATAATGACATGAATAAACATATACATGCTATTAAAAATTCATGATTGGTAAGTTTTTAATATGAATACTTTACAAACATATATTTAAATTAGGTTAGGTTCCCCGGTTAAAACTAACATCGTGTCCTGGAGGAAAATAGCTACTTACGATTTGACAGCGCTTACCGCTTACGATTGCCATTTTGCTTACAAGCGCTTGCTAGCGCTTTTTTCTGCCAAACGCACCCAATGTCTCAATCTTCAAGACAACAGGGCTTTAACAAACTCAAATCGTACATGTACACGTTACGTGTAAATAACACGTAAATGGCCTCAATTAATGTATAGCCGTAAGCCCGCATCTAATTGTATGAATAGATAACTAGACCGTATAAGTATAATAAAAAGAAAGTTTGAAACAAAAGCATTAGGAAGTAGGAACTTACGTCTAGAAGCCTACGGTCTCCTTCAACAGCTTTCCTCAAAGCAGCCACGTCGGCCTCCAGTCGTGCCAGCGCTCCCGGCAGCTGCTCTAGTACTTTCAAATCTGCGACACGTGGTTAAATTGTACTAATTTGGAGCTTCCTTTTTCTCTATATAATAAACGAATTTGTGACAGATAATTAAAAAAATGTTTAACGATTACAAAGAAATTTACAGTTTCGTGGGTATGTTTACAGTATAGCCAAGAAGTCAATCTATAGTGATGCCAACCAAGCGAGAATTATATTAATTTGTATACATATAGAGTTAATAATACGCAGTATTTTCTCAGAACCTCAACTATGGGCGGTTCATTCAGTCCAGAGCCAAGGCAGCGGTGCGGCGGTACTTCACGCCAGGGCAGCTTCTTACCATACTGCTGCCACTTGAACGAATTAACCACTGGACACGACATATAATCGAACTTGGTCGTTTGTTTTTACGTCAATTAGAAGCACTTACTTGTCAACAAAACATCTCTCAAAAATGATTAAATGTTCAATTAAATGGTGTAAAAACTATAGCGGAGGAAGCAGCACTATTTCTTTTCTCTTGTAAGTACATTATTTTATTACATTTATTGTTATTTATCACAAAATTTAATCAAATGTAAAATAAAATTTTGTATTATCCAACTATGTTAAATATAGTCGATATTTCTATGTATTGTTGACATCTGACAACCATCACAAAATGGCTGGATTATACCATTCAGAAGGAATGACTAAAACTGTGGAGTGAGTTAATTTGACATCGACTAGTGCTTGACCATGTCGAAAAATATATCGATATTTGACGATATGACCGAATGAATGATGATGTTATTTGTACAATACAATAACACTTAAAAATACTTATATAACAGTATCCTACAATCTGATGTCATTAAATTTATAATAGTAATTTATAATTAAATAAAAATAATCTAAATGTAAAAATTCTAATCAGTATCTGTACTTAAAATATTTAAACATATAATTTACACGAATTTATAGATTTCCTAGTGACCCTTCTCGGAAAAGAAAGTGGGTAGAAGCAGTTCGTAGAGATGAAACCTGGATTCCGACGAAACACAGCGCCATATGCGGTGTACATTTCGATACTGCCCGTTTTAATACTAATGCAAAGAAACACAAAATTACACCAATGAAGGCAGTCTCATTGCCCATAAAGACTAGGGAAAACTGATACTTCCCTCAAGTGATACCATAGCTATTTGTCAGCACTGCGAACTCGAACTTACGAAGGGTGTTCAGAATAAAAGACTAAAAAAAGATTACACAACAGACTTTCTCCTGCCGAAAGTAACAGAAACATTACTGCAACTTCCGTTGTACGAATACATACATTTCCACAAATTTGAAAACGACGACGTGAATCACGTCAAAGAATTAACGAAAGCCGTTGCTGAAAAGTGTATATATATTAGAATTGCTTGTATAAGAAAACAAGCGAACAAAACAAATTTTAAGAAACACATTTTAAGAAAGATGATACATAATAAAAGTCAGTAAACCTGTTTAAATAATTTAAACTTAACAAAAAATTTGACGTTCATCATAACTAATTGAATAAAAAGTCCATAACAATATCCTGCTTCTTTTATTTTCTTCTTATTATTTTATTATTTTCTTATTTTCTTTTTCGGCTTATTTACGATACGCCTTTTCTTTCTCAGTCGTTCATCGATATATTTTATCGACTACGTTCAAGCACTAGAAATAGAGTGAACTTCTACGAATTTCGTATCTGTGTTTATATTAACGTAATAAAATCTTTGTGTGCGTTATTCTCCACTTGGTTGAACGAGTTTTTATACATTTGTGTTTTATGTCAGGTCCAGTGGTTAATTCGTTCAAGTGCTGTCACATATGGGCTGGTGCTGCAAAATGCCACCTGGCAGCGTTGGACTCAGTGGAGAGACGTGCTAAGAGGCTCATTGGTGACCTTGATTTGGTTAAAACCAAACTTGTGAGCCTCGAGCATAGGCGTAGAGTAACCAGCCTCTTGGCATTTTATAGGATGCATTTCGATGAGTGTGCGCAGGAATTTTAATCCACCATTAGACGACCAAGCGGTCGGCAGGTCTTCACCTTTGTTGCCGATATTCCAAGCATTAGAACCAACTTTTTTAATATGTACTGTAAAAGAATTGGAGTAATTTGCCGGCGTTTATCGTTTTGTCTGAATACAATCTGGGCGTCTTCAAAGCAAGAGTGAATTTACTATTTAAGGCTGCATCATCACTTACCACCGTGCGGGATTGTGGTCAATAATAATTTTAAAAAAAACGCATACTTTCTGACGCTTGTTCGACGTTACGAGATTATGGTGTTATTGCTTAACTAAGTCGTTTCCTGATGGTGCGCGGTGCAGGAGAAGTAACGGATAAAGTATCAGCATTAAGCAAGCGCCCGTATTACAAGTTTACAAGCCTCTTCAATGAGCGGCCGGTGCGGGTACGTTTTTTTAAATTTATAACGTTATCATAGTCGAGTAAATACATGAGTTACATCTATTTAACTTGCAAACACCGTGAGATTTATCCGCAAGTTACAGTCTCATACATAATGTAAGGCAACAATACAATTATCTAATCTATGGCCGCTTAAACAAACAGTGACAATAATATTTAGTAGTACATGTTTTAAACGTCAAATTACAACCGTTAATTGCAAATCACTGCCCTGAACGGCCCGTATTGCCAGAAGACCGGTTTCGATGACCTCACGAGTGTGAGTGAGACAACTACATCTAGCGAGCGCTCGGATTATCTAGCAGAAGAAGCAGTATACAGGTTGCTTCAAAACATGTATAATATTAGTTTTTATTGAATTTAATACGAGTCCCGAGTCATATGACCACATACAGAAGTTAGTAAAGTCAAGATGTAACATTTTTCTTCTTTTGTAGTATTTTATTGTAGCTATTATTGTAGCTATTACTAAGCAAGTATCGTCTGCATATTGATATACTGAACTATGTTTAACAACATTCCCTGTGTCATTTGCACAGACCAGAGCTATTTCCGCAGTGACAGGTATTTCATCACTGTTGTCATTTCCGCTTCTCACCTTGTATTCTCTACCTTTGAGGTAATCTTCACACCACCTGAGAAGAGGCCCACTAACAACTGTATTATCTAGTTTTTGTATTAGTAAATCGTGTTTAAGTGTATCAAAAGCTTTGCTGTAGTCAATAAATAAAGGAATTACCTGTTGTTTGTTGTTTAGATAATTATTAATTTCATCGGTAAATTTTGATAGTAAAGATGTACTTAGTTGCTTTATTTTTTTGAAAGCTAAACTGAGTGCTGGACAAAACTTCGATTATATAATAGTTTTGTATCTGTTTAGCGTCTGGGACACTATTTTATGCACTTTACCTGCTTAAAATCCTTTCAATTTTTTTTTACTAATTATAACTCAATGCTTGACTACGATCCCACCTAAAGGCAAGTGGTGATTTAGCCCTAGGTGGTCTATCGCCTGTTACACAAGTGTATTATTTTATGAATTCACACGTAATTAAAGCGAAGAAAAAGATTCTATTAACTCGTACTTTAAAGACACACACGTATCGAAGGGAAAAACGGACGCAGGTACACTATTACGTTTATTTGCTGGGCGCAGTACGAACGACGAGGCAAGACGTTCTATTCAAACGCGTGAAATGTCGATGACAAAATAATGGACACCCGCCAAACGTCTGCATGTCCGGTGGAGAAAAAGGGAGGTACGAATTATGATATATTATTCTAATGCGCACTGTACGAAATGCATTCTATAGATTTTTTTATAAAACTGTAAAGGCTAACGAACTGACAGTCCACCTGATGGTAAGCGGAGGCTGTATCCCATGAAATTCTGCAACCAACTTCAAACAAAGAAGGCTACATTTTTTTAATAACTGGCTTTACGGCTCTGGGTTCTAGTCCTTCTGAGCCTAAAGAAAGCTACGGATGCGTTGTCACCCCTGAGGAATGAGAGAGAATGTCTCAACGCATGGCTCTCCATACTCTTCAGACCGGATCACAGCAGTGCAAGCATGGCCAAATTAAAAAAGGCGTCAATATGAAACCCTAAAAGATGACCTCATATTTGTGCCTTTTGCTGTTGAGACCTATTGGTCCGTGGTGTTCGCGTGTGGTAAAGCTTCTTAAAGAAATGCATCCCTGACATGTCGTTACCACTGTTGACAAGAAGACTAGTTCTTTTCTCGCTCAAAAGTAGAGTATAGCCCATTCACCGATGAAACTCAGCATGCTTGACACTATATAGGCAGACCTGTGCGGGGAAAGAACGGAAGCGAGGGGAGTTATGCCAGCCCACCCAACTAACTAATACATCAACAAATACGAAATGCAAGGATGTGCGTTAACACAGCCAGCCTATAATTGCAAAACGGTTCGGTAGCGCAGTATGTGCGATTGGCTGCGGGTCGCAGGTTCGAGTTCCTGCACGGAGCAAGTTATTTTATGGTGGCTTCCACAATATAGTAACGAAGCTGGTGTGGAAGAAGTTAGAAAAAAAACTTACGCGTTAATTGAGACGTAATTTGGTGCGCATGTCCGTTACTCAATCGGGGAACGCTCTGTGTTTGCGGTTGTATCTCTGGTTCACTCTGAAATTAACGGAAATATACCTTACAGAAAACAAATATTCACTCAGTAACGTCTAATTGCTAGCCAAGAAGTCTATGTCTATATCAGTCGACATCTCATCAAAATATTTGGAAACATCGGTTCCAATAATAACTAAAGGTGGGCGAAACTGTTATATTTTTCTAATTCGTTATGTTGTTGTAATATATTTTTCTAACTGTTATTTTAAACTGTTATAATATATTATAACAGTTTCAAATATTACATTGTACAAGCGGTTAGTTAAGTTCAGTTGTCGGCTGTGTTAGCATTTTGTGGTATGTTATTATAACGATTATAAATATTATGATGAAAGATTATTACGATTATAAATATTAAACGATTATAAGTATTATATGAAGACAAAAAAATATTTTTAAGTTGTATTAGCATAATTTGAGTGTTTCATGTTTTAAAAGAGAATTTACACAGGTAATTATTGTATCTGTTATAATTATTTACTCATATTTTCAAACATTTTACGAAAAATAATTCATTCAGGCGTAGTTAGAAGCTTATTGATGTTATGTACATTTTGATTGAATTTTTACATTATTTACACTGTGGTCAAAGTTTTAGTTATCTACAATTATTTATATTTTTTTCAGTTACTATTCAAAAACATTATTTGGTTTACTTTTGACGACGTAAGCCTTGTGAGTCTATCCGATATTATATCCGAACGGCAACACTCTTCATACACTCCTACGTGTCTTTGCTTAAGGTGAAGCTTTAAATTTGTAATTGTACTTTTGAAAGATAAATTTTTTTTAATTGTACACTGCTTTTTTTCGTCCACACTTTGGACTTCGACTTAAAATAGTTCCAAATGGCTGCGCTACGCTGACGCGACATTATTATACACTTTTACATACAACACGCTAAATCCTACCTATATTACACTAAATATTGAAAATTACTTTAGGAATAAAACTTAATGAAAAATAAACAAAAACAACAATAGCTTTTTCACGTAATATGGGGACCTGCTATCAAAACATTACGTATATAATTTAACAGATAACAGTGTCATTGTCATCTCAGCTAGACAGCTAACTGAACACTAGACGTGGGCGTTATTTCACGTCACTAGATATAGTAACTGGCTACGCGGCATGTAACCGAATCATTAGTTTCGAGTCATGTTACAAGTAGTGATTTTTGTTAATGCGTGATTATGATTACTGTTAACCATGATTATTGCGGAAGTCGACTGTCGGTCGGTCGAGCGCAAAGCGCACATGTGGCATACAACAATAAACAAAACATCGTAAGTAACAGTATTATTGTACGTTTAATTTTCATACGTAAGACTATAGATATAGACAATAAAATAGAGTAATCTCTGTTTGTAAATAATTTCAACGGTTTGCGATTCCGGGAAGCGAGTCACATAAAATTTAACTAAAATAATCTTTAGAACATTTTTGACGGAGCCATGAACTCGTTTATTCATAAAATTAAAATAAAACTATAAAATGTGTATAAAAAAATTTAAAATTTAAATGTTTATAATATTATAAATCTTAAAAACTGTGTGTAAATAGCCAAACAAACAAACAAATTAATTGTACAGTGTAAATAAAAGTGCAAAAACAAATGATAATTAAAACGTTGAAAAAGTGTAAATAAACTAACTATCAATAATCATTGTATATACAATCAAATTGACTTGTAAAAATGCCTGCATTAATAATTGTATGAAAATCTTAGTGTCATAGTAAACGCAAATCAATCATAAATACATTTAATGCAGTCAGTCCTAAACCCGAATAAAGTATGAAGGGAAGTTAATTTATTGATTTAACAATATACAGTTCCTGTGTAGCTACAAACACAGATTGTGATTAAATTTATTTTCGTTTCGTGTGTAACTTGGTAGTGATATTTATGCAAGCAACCACAGTAGCCGAATAAAAATAGCCAGTTACAAAAATCACTAGTTTTGAAACAGGTGACGCCGATCAAGTCACTGGTTTCGTTAAGTTTCTTGAAAATGACGTAACGATCCACGTCTACTGAACACTAATATATTACAACAGCCAAAAAATTAAATAACAGACACAACAGGCAACAGCTAGCAATGAAAGAAAGAAATATATTTTTGTTTACCGTTATAAGTTAGTGTTAGTAAAATAAGCTCTTATTAAGTTAGCTTAGAGTTTAAATTAGTGTAAGCTATACGCAATCCTTGTGGCATAATGAATGTAGTATTTTATTGACTCCCATTGAGGTGCCGCGTCTCGGTCGACGGCTGGACCGTAAACGTAAACAGATGACGCTTTCTAACGATAATGAATATATTATAACAGTCAATGGTTCATTATTCTAATGTGTTGTAAGATTACAAATATATAATGAAATATATTATCTGATGTATGTTTTAACGCCCAACTTTAATAATAACAGAATTCATCGTCCCATTTCATCCCATGGGTGTCGTAAGAGACCAATATGGCGAATGTCATAAGTGTAATGGCTTCCGATAGATGGCGTTGTAACCATCTCAATAACGCCATATATAAATTGCGCAGACCGCCGTGACCATTATGATAAGTCCTACTTACTATGGGAGAGGGCATAAGGACAAGAAAAATATGAAGTGCTCTTTAAGTAGTCTTACAACAGTCTCAAATCATCGCGATGTTAAATCTGACGAGCGACATCTGTTAGCAAGAAAGGGAAAATGTAAAGGGAAAGTGTAAGAGCACAAAATTCAGTAGCCCTATTCATTGGACATCAGCGGCATCTGTACTAAATGTGAAATACTTGTGATTTCCTATAAATTAATTTAATGCTATGCTCACACTACGAATGCTTTAGTTTCTGAGATAAGAAACAGTAACAGACTTAGCTTTGGACGTTTTTCGAACATCTCTCTTTGACGTAACAAATCAATCCGATAACGTACAGCAAACAATACTAACATCAACAGTATCAATGAACTCGTCGTCAGAGTCGTGTCGTGTCCGCGGCGGCGACGCGTTGCGGACCGGAGATGACGCGCCGCTCACTGAACGTGAACCTGATGGCAAATATATAAAAACATTAACATAAAATTTAAGCAAATTGTACTGCCATTTTACTGAAACAAACACAATAGAAGTACAAAAATAAGAAATCATTAATATATTACAATCTTTTTTACAAAACAACAAAATATTTAATTGCCTACTTCCACTTTTAACCGAGAAATAACAAAATAAAACGGTCATAGTGTTGAATCCTGGTTGACTTTGACTATGGTAACAATTTACGGTTAGTAAGAAAAAACGTGCATTATGCACTAGATTTCAAAAGTTCTGTAAATTGCTCATAGGGTTAAGACTTCTTCACTACTTATTTTTAGTAATTCAACCGAATGCTTTTTTATAGGAGAGGAGGCAAACGGCTCACCTGTGATAAGTGACTACCGCCATCCATGAACAACTGCAACACCAGAGGAATTGCAGATGCGTTGTCGAATTTTAAAAAGGAGTAGGCTCTTTTCTTGAAGGTCCCTAAGTCATATCGCTCCGGAAAAATTTTTGCTGGTAGTCGACTCTACAAGGAAGTTGAGGAAGAAAACTTCTTTTAGATTGCACAGTGGTAGAGCGTAGAAGTCATTCAGATCCGCACCGCGGGATGGTCGGTGGTGTGTTCCCTCCATCATCAAGAGTCGAGTTGGATGCAAATAAAGAGAGCCCAGCAGGTCGGCTTTCTCCCTTGCAGTGATAGGAGAAATGGTTGACAGACTTTTACTTGAACAGCCTTGGCGAGATACCTAGAATGCACGTATTCTCGAAGGAAGTCGAACTAGTTTCTCGCCAATTCTGCCGATGTGCTCTGAGTTTGCCTTGGCAATGATACTTTTGAAGGACCTGGAGGCGGAATTAAACTTATTTTTAAGAGCGCTGGTATTTACAGCCCGAGACGTTGATGCGTCAGCCTAGGTCCGGTAGCACTCCTGCTTACAGCGTGATGCAATTTTGCAGGAGCGACCAAATCATGACTGGATACTGCCTCCGATGGGTACCACAGATAATGGGAAAGAATCCATTCCCTGTAGCACCAAATCAGCGACAGAATCAGCAACAACGCTAGGATCATCCGGCGAGACCCAAGACAGCCCCCAAGGGTAGAATGCAAAAAAGATCGCAATCCCGTCCCAATCGGCTCACCTATAGCACCAAAAACGTTATTGGCATCGTACTTCGGATCAGACAATACTACGAGAGTAGCCAAGAGGGGCATCGAGGGAACACTTGATATCCGTCCGGATGAGATGTCTGCTGAAGGTCCAACAGGGAATCCAACTAAGCATCAAGATCTCTGCGGATGGAACCTGGTGTAGCACGGACTCTGCAGCCATTTAGATGTGGTCGATGAGTTGGTCCGTGTCAGCATTACCGCTATGGGACCTATAGAGGCACCCGTAGACGCGCGGATGGTCGCCGCTGTCTACGCGCAGCAATAGGATCGACAGGACCTTCAAGACTCCAGCTCGGAGCACAAAGGAGTGTTCTAATTTGTACCCTGAGTGGGAGAGATACGAAGTATCAGCCGGAGAGGTCATCTGTGTCTCGGTTAGAAAGAGCAAGGCCGGCCTCGTAGTTCCCAGACGGCGTTAAGATTTTAATGAAGTCCCCTGACGTTGCAGAAATTCACGGATAGCATGGCAGGGGGCGCCTTTGTCTTATTGCTCCATTCTGAATTGGCCTCTCCTCCACCTCAGTTCGAGCCAGCCCATACATGCCAAGTTCTTACAATTTATAAAATATGATGACGACCGGTGGGTCTGGATCCCTATATAATTATCAAATGAATAGATATATCAGTAACAAGAAAATTTGACAATCATAATAGAATACTACCAAATTTCTAATCTTCTGTTATAGTTTCCCTCTGTCGCCTCTTACGACACCCTCGGTACGATACGGGGTCACCCATTCTTAAGACGGCATTCTTACACCGCCATTACAAGGACTCGATGTGAAGTCTTAAGTCCGTAGATTAGTTATGTGTCCTTAGCAGTTATTGAGCGCTATTACTATACTTTTAAGCTATTGGATAGCTTTTATCGCGGGCTTTGAGCGCAACGACTGAATCAAGAAATTCCGTAACGAAAAAACCTAAGACCCGAAAACCTAACATCGTCTAACGTCGTTTCAGTTCGGTAGACTTCGGCACGATATTTGTGTGCGTGCGACTAGACGTATGCGTGTAGACTATAGTTCGGCCGTTCAGAGAATGCGTTCCTGACACGTCGCGATTGAACTGACGACGTAACTTTGTAATGGAGTTGCAGTTACGATAAAAATACTTTGCTGGTTGTTTACCGTTTTAACAATTGATGAGCATTAAAACGACATTATTATATCAATAATCAATGAATATTATAATTTTGTGCCAAACTGAGTGTCAAATAACTTGGTAAACAATATTTTTCTAAATCTATACTGCGCTATTACAAGGTTCTGTCAGCGCTTTATATTTGTAGTGCTGTGCTAACAATAACAGGCAATAAAAGTATCGTTATCTGTTCTTATACAGTTATACTTTATAAAATAATACGTTTTGTTTTTCTTTTTAAGAATTTGAAAATATTGGACTATAAGATAACTTTTATTAAATATAAAAATAAAACTACGACCAAACCGAACGCGCGAAAGAAAGTAGCATTTTTATATTTAGGTTGAAAATGGTAACCCCAAATGGCGTTATGGGCCGCCATTTTGTGACGCTAAAACAGTCGTCTGTTGTCGTTTCGTGCGTCGACGTCGAAAGTACCAATGGGTAAGGGGGTCCGTCTGATAATATGCCACGCAGGTTCTGCAAAATACGGCTTTGTGGAGAACGCGTTACTGGCATTTCAATCAAAAACCACAAATGACTACCACGAGGAAATGAATGCCACTACATTCAAAGAGTGGTTCCAGAACGTGCTTTTGCCCAGCCTACCAGAGCCTTCTGTAATATTCATGGATAATGCCTGCTATCACTCGGTTCAAATACAGAAGCCACCTACCCAAGCTAATAAAAAAGAAGAAATGGTGGCTCCGTTACAAGCAAAAGGCATTGACGCAAATATGTAGATGCTAAAACCAGAGGTTATTAAATTAGTTAAAGAAAATAAAGCGGCAAATGTGCGATACGAAATCGATGAACTGGCTCTGGAGTACGGTCCTCGCGTTCTAAGAATTCCACCGTATCATTGCCAATATAACGCGATTGAGCTAATCTGGGCTCAAATAAAAGGTTACGCCGCTCGCCACAATACTTCCCCGCCATTCAGCACGAAAAAAATGATGACCCTATTAAAAGAAGCCTGCGGGGAAGTCACAAGAGATGACTGGGCAAAGGTTGTTGAGAAGACTAAAAACCTGATTGTGGAACATTTTGACCGAGATATCAGGATTGATTCTGTTATTGATAATAATATAATTATACATGTAGGCGAAGATGATGATGAAGACACCACCTCCTCAAGCGAATTGGAGTCTGATTAATATTCTGTAGGCACATTCAATTCAATGTACTTTATTGCATAGAAATACAGATTGTAACTTTGTAACAAAGAATAAATAAAACAATTTTATTATATTAATATTACCTTTTTTTGGTTTCCACTTAAATTAATAAAATATAAATTTTAAATGATTCCGCCAATTTAAAACGAAAATAATCTTAAAAATAACGCGGCGGTTCATTTTGGAGGAACGGTAACGAACTCAGTGTTATGTTGTGCCCATCACTAGTCGTGACTAACTGATAGGTGTCAGGAACGCATTCTCTGAACGGCCGAACTATAGTTGCATGTATTGTAAGATAATAAAAATATTTTAAATAATAATATAGTTTATTGCAAAAAGCATATTCTTTGGATTTATATGAGTCTTCGTCATGCTAGCAACTTTCGTGAATTTAGAGTATTTAATAAACACAGACTTTATAGAAAATTCGTTTGTCGGAAGAACTCGTTAATTACCATAAATCTATAGTTTCAATGATAAAAATCCAATAGCAGGATAACTAATAAAAAATATATTTTTATAGTGGGAAAAACTAGTTATTATGATACATGTTGCTCGAAATCAATTATTGATATCAATTGAATTACTTTGTGTCAGCTGGTGGTTTTCGCACATATTAAATGAGTGGGAAATGTGAACAATACAGACAGGTGGAAAAATTCTGCAGTATTCTAACGCAATAGAATATGTCGCCCTACAAATAATAATTGTAGATGAATGGATTTTGAAATAATTCTGTAATCGCTACATTGTATAAAAATGCACGCTATAGACGATCGATGAAAGGATTTCAAATCGTTTTATAATCCCTACAATGGTATAAAAAGCAGCCGCCCGGCCGCGTCTTTTAATGCGATTTCAACTATCATTTGATCATTTTCCCAGGAATGTTTATATTTTCAGTGATAGAAAAAATAGTGACGTTTCCAAATTAAAGCTTTTCGGGCACTTACTACACACAAACTAACTAAACTACTAAATTTTAAAAAGATTTTTCTAAAACAGAAATAAACAGCCGTTTACTGTTGAGGCACTTTGTCACTTTTATGGAACTTTGTGCGTCTGCTATAGTTATCCTAGGAACGAGAGTTAATGGGTTCTTTAAATACGAGGGTGGATTGAAAAGTACTCGGCCTAACCAAGAAAATAAACACATACTAAATCAGTTATATTTTTATTTTTCTACATAATCACCATCAAGTTCAATACACTTTTGCCACCTCCCCTTCCAAGCATTTAGACCGTTGAAAAAAAATGATTCTTCCTTAGAGTCAAAATATGCGTCTACAGCTGCTTTGACCTCGTCGTTTGTCGAAAATCTTTGACCTCCCAAGTGCTTTTTTAGGTTAGGGAACAGAAAGAAGTCTGATGGTGCCAGATCAGGTGAATACGGCGGATGCGGTAACAGTTCAAAGCCACAGTTGTGAATTTCAGCCATTGACTGTACTGACGTGTGAACACGGGCGTTATCTTGATGAAACAGGACATTTCTTCTGAGCATTCCTCGACGTTTTTCTTTTATTTCCTCTCGTAAACGACGTAGTAAGGTGCAGTAGTAATCAGAGTTTATAGTCTGACCCCTTTCAAGATAATCAATCATAATCACACCTTTCGAGTCCCAGAATACTGAAGCCATCACCTTATTTGCCGACAAAATCGACTTAGCCTTTTTAGGGGGTGGTGAACCAGGTCTTCTCCACTGTTTTGATTGTTGTTTTGTTTCCGGTGTACAGTAATGAACCCATGTTTCGTCCGTAGTAACAAAACGATTCAAAAAATCATCTGCATCGGCTTCAAATAACTCCAAACAGTCGCGTGAAATAGTCAATCGCGTCCTTTTTTTGTTCAATTGAAAACAGTCGCGGAACCCACCTCGTAGACACCTTGTGGAAACCCAACCCGTTGACAATGATGTTTTGAGTTCCTTCATTAGAGATGCCTATAATCTCGGCTATCTCTCTAATTTTTAATCTGCGGTCTCCCATTATTAAATCAAGTACTTTTTTAATATTTTCGTCAGTAGTTGACGTCGAAGGCCTTCCAGAGCGGGGTTCATCTTTCACACTCTCTCTACCACGCTTAAATTCTGCTATCCATTTTTTGACGGATGAATATGACAGAACACAATCGCCTAATGTACTGACCATGTCATCATGGATGGCTTTTGATGATAGCCCCTTCTTATGGAGGTACTTAATGACGGCACGCTGCTCGATTTGCTCCATTCGCTGAAATTATGTCCGATTACTTTGTTAATAAATTTATAAAATCACAACTAATTATCGCACACGTTTCGAACTTCACACAATGAACTAGTCTGAACTGAACTAAATAATGTGGGTAGATTTGATTTTTAGAATTGAATGGATCTGTGTTAGGCCGAGTACTTTTCAAACCACCCTCGTAGATATTCCACCGCCTTATCGGTGTTAAATTTTTCCCATGTAAATTTTTTTTATAAATTCAAAAATAAGGGCAAATCAGTAAAATGCCTGGCGATTATGCTGTAAATACATTAAAATACAAACCAGAAAGGTATAAAGCTATGAGGCATTAATGTTAGTCCACAGGAGTGACAATGTGTGTGTGACCTTAATTGGCTTGAGCTTGTTTCAGGTGTCCGTAGGCTGCTGCAGTCCTGCTGTAGTAATTTACCATCAGTCAATTTTTATTTAACTCTCATTAAAATATGCCTTTCTATAGAATAAGAGTTAAACGAGCGAGCGAGAACGGCACACAATTCACCTGATGGTAACTGGATTCTGTGGCCCATAGAAATCTACATTTATCCCTGATCCCTGAGTATTACGATGAAATGCTTCGTTTCCAGTAAAAACGGGTCTCCAGATCTCTACAATCACCATACGAAACACAGCAGTACTAAGCTGCTATTTTACGCAGGTATTCTGTGAGAGCGTGGTCCTTCCCTGGTCGAGCCGACCCATTCGTTCTGCAACCATAATAAAGCGGCAGCTTGACTCTGCCACGTATAAAGAACAACTCGCAGTCGATAGATAATGCCTGTCAAAGTCAATCCAGAACGCCTAATATCTACCCAAAAACTATAAAATTACCACGTATGGTCATGCCGATCGCAACGCTGCTTCTGGGCTTGCAGTTGTAAATTTTCTATGATTGTACAAATCCGACATAACTGATTCTTGTTACCGCGAGAGTGGCTATGGATGTAGATTTCTTCAAGTAATAAATTAAATTAATACTTTAAACTGTCACTAATGATAATAATAATAATGTCCTCCCGACCGAATTTCGGCCACGGCGGGCTGCCTCAACGGAGGCTAGCCATCGGCGCAGGACAGGATTATAGTGCCCAAGTGTATGCGCAAGCACAGGTGCACTCTCTATTCCCTCACTCTCATACACCGACACGACCGGAGAGAGATAAGGCCATGTCATTATATAAATCTATAAATATCCAGCTGTCGCGTTGGTGCATTAGCGCAAAATTATACGTAGCTACGTAATGAATGGTTTGCAGTCTAATTTTAATTGGATACTTACAAACAGGCGTATTGTGTTCGGAGCGCACACGGGCGAGTACATCACCGGCAACCAGTTCGAGGTCGTTATTGGGAAAACCCTGGTCGTCGTCGTCCACCGACAGGAATGAGGCTATGTCCGAGTTGTATGACATAGTTTCCACTATCTAAAAACATGTACGCATTTGTGAAATAAATATAATGTATAATATAATAAATAACAAGTAATAACATAACTCCAAATGTCAAACATTTAAGTACTAATGTAATTTTAAATGGGGAGGAACTGAGTCTTGTCGATACCACTATTTTTAAGCTGTAAAAAGAATAGAAATGTTACCAGTTTAGAAACAGCTACAGCAGACTAGTTTACTTTAGCTGTTAGTTTAATGTCGTATGGTGTTTGCTATGTGGACACGCGACTGTCACCGAAGTTACTCGTATATATGTTTTACAGAAGAGCAATAATAGCCATAAGAGCAACCTATGATTTCAAATCTAAAGAGTCGCTCAAACAATAATTTAGGAAAATTAATATATTAACTTTGTCCTCCCAATACATTTATTAGAATAATGTAAGAACACAAATATAAAAATATGTTTTACAAAAATAAATGATAATGATTCTGTATATACTAGGAACAGACACAAGCTAGTGGTATAGGTACCGGTTACTCGACTCCACCAGGTCAGTAATTCAATCTTGGGGCGACGTTTATACACGGTGTATTACGCTTTTTCAACAATATCCCAGAAAACGTACAAAATGTGACCTGCTCAAAGTTCAAAAACTTTATTAAACTAAGTTTATATGAAAAGGGTTATTATAATATTAAAGAATTTATGTGATATGATGGATGATAATAACTCCTGGGGGGTTTAGGGGGAATGAGGTGATCGCTACCAAGGTGTTACTTCTTCGTGTGCGCAGTAATTGTAAGCTGTTATAGAAAAAAAATCCCGCTTGGTTTCTTGCTGGTTCTTCCCAGGACACAGGTTTCTTTCCGCACCAGTGGTAATTAGGTAAACAAAAGAGTGACTTTCAAAGTAAGTATTATTAATAATCTATATTGAATAAAAAGTTTCAGTATATATTTATACAAAACATGACCAATAATTTCAAAAGTTAGAAAAATACCTTATGTAACTCGTCCACATACGCATGCATTGCTTCTTCTTTTGTCATATTGCCTAGTTTGTTCCATGACTCCCATTTCGCTCTGAAAAGCAAAATAAATAATTATTTAAATTTAACGTATTTTTGTTACAGTTCAGTTTTATTTTTCGGAAAATAATAAAAATTTTATATGTTCTACTGATGTTGAATTAATAAATAAAGGATTTTTCAATTGCCGCGGGTAGATTTTGGCGGCCAGTGACGGACATTTTGTTTTGGTGGCATCTATTAAAACTTTTGTTTATTATTCAATGACTTACGCCAAATTACCATGGCAATTTACACGATTGAGGAGCACGTTTAAATGATAATAATAATAATAATGTCCTCCAGACCGAATTTCGGCCACGGCGGCCAGCCTCAATGGAGGCTAGCCATCGGCGCTGAACAGGATTATAGTGCCCAAGTGTAACCAACGGCTTTACGTGCTTTCCGAGGCACGGGGGTGAGACACCGCCAACTTCCTGACTCCGGGCAACGACTGAGAATTTCTTGACGGAAAAACTCAATAATTAATTGTTTGGCCCGACCCGGAATTCGAACCCAGGATCTCATGATCAGCAGTCGCACTACTACAACCACTAGACCAACGAGGCAGTCAAATGATAATACTTTATTATTAAAATAAGTGTCCGTTAATGCAAACGTTGCGCGCATTGCGCCCATTTTACGGTAGGCGTTGTGGCCCTTCACAGTCGACTCTTCAACGTTTGGTGGCCAAATTTGAAACGACCGGTTCGGTAAACAATCAGCCAACACCCGTACGTTCAACGAACGCAATCGGTCGAGAACATCGTCGCGGAGAAAGTGTACTCGTACAGCAGAACCCGAGGCAGTCGATTCCTCGCCGTGTACAAGAACTCGGCCTTTCGCAGACTTAAACTTTGCGAGTTTTGCGTCGAGAGTTAGAGGCCTATACCCGTACAAGATCCAACTGACCCAGGAGCTGAAAGTTCATTACCATAGACCACGCCGTATGTTCGCTGACTGGGCTTCGAATCAAAATCATCTTTAGCCATGAGGCGCGTTAACAAGCAAAATTGGCGTATATGGAACGACACCAACCCACGCGAGTCACCAGGTGATAATGCATCATCAAAAAGTTAATGTTTGGTGTGAATTTCGGGCCGGCGACGTCATTAGTCCGTACTTTTACGAAAACGACGCTGGTGGTGCGGTCACCGTCCACGGCGAGCGCTACAGAACGATGATAACCAATTTCTTACGGCCCAAATTGAACCATATGGACCTAGACGACATGTGGTTCCAACAGGACGGCGCTACGTCCTCCATATTTCTCCATTTCTCCATGAGTGATTTGAGGTAAAAATCGGTTAAGTTTAGGATTCCATCGCGGACAAACAACGATGTCGCTTTGTACGGTAATACTCGTATGACGGCTATCAACTAAAGACAATATAGCAAGAAAATATTAGAATTTAGAATATAAGTAAAAAACAGGTATTACTGGCGTTTCTCCTCCTCGGTCTTGTTATCGCAACTTATCCTTACGAGGATAGGTTACTTATGATGATAAGTTAACGAACTAAAGAACGTATTTACAACATTTACAACTTTTATTTTAAGTTTACATTACTTTAGTATACATTACAGCAAGTATTCGGGGCTTTTAATCCCATAAAACGCGATTTCTCCAACTTAATTATTCAATTCAATTTGGCCGTCACCATTTGGTGATCGCTACCATTTTTACCCCTCGCAATCATAGACATCAGTGAACAGTTGCCGTTTGATCGTCATAATTATGACGATCAAACGAACGATGGCAATTTAATTTTTCGTCGAACCGTCGGAGCTGGACCAGGTCTACTTCCCGTGGGGCTGCTTTTAGAAAAAAGAGATCATCATTAAAAGTCCTCTTTCTCTATGAAGTTTACAAGCTGTTGGCCTCTTGAGTTCCATGGCCTCATTCCAAATTTACCTACCTTCAGCCTCAAGACAAAGTTATATACAAGAAAAGATCGCGCACTATCTTGTGCCCTGGTTGTGCTTTGAAATTTGCCATTAACGTATAATGAGTTTTCGTGGCTCTAGACTAGATCATCATGGCACATCACCAAAGCATTCCTAATCCTTTGGCAATTCTACTATATACCAGTGCAACTTATCTAAGTCCTCAGAATGCGTACAATAACTGTTGCCAGGTCGATTCGTCAAAGATGGCAATTGAACTTCCACCAGAGGTTCTTAGCTTCTTAGCACCCCTGCCTCATCGTTTTCATGGTCGCCACAATAGCAGAAGGAGGAATAATGGTGCCCGCCGGGAAATTTAGTATAATCCTTAAACTCTTTGATGGAAGAGGATAATGTCCAAAAATGAGGATCATGTCTTTTACGGATCCCTAAGTACAGTAAGGAAGTCAGCCACCGCAGACTCTACTTCACCTGAGGATGCCTCGTGTAGAGGCGAAACACGTGTTTTATTACCGAGGTTGGTGTGTCTTTCCTAGCGTAGTGGTATTGAGAGAAGTGATGCTGGGATAAGTGGTGACGGGGATAGTAGAAGGCGGGAGATGCTCTTCAAACTACGTAAGACACATCATTTTATTTATTTAAACTTCATACAATATGATGTATAGGCGAGCTTAATGCCTGAGGCATTCTCTACTAGTCATCCTTTGGGTGATGCAGAGATTTATTATACGCGGATGTAAGCAAATTAATTTTTAAGATCTTCAATATATTATCATATATTTTACACAACATCTATCAGTGTAAATGAAAATTGGCAGTTTCGCAAGGAAACAATATAGAATAGACAGTAGACACTGACCTGTTGACCACGTCCCAGAAACCTGGCTTGGGTCTGTCGCATGGCCCCTCCGTCGCCTGCTTGTAGTAACTGTAGAACCTTAGCATCAGCTCATTGCTGGGTTGGTAAGAACCTATTAACAATAAAATTACAAAATGAATATATTAAAATAGTAGAACCGAGTGATAAAAAACAAGTAATAAACAGCATTACGTCTAATGGCGCGTTTAGATCATTGGCACGAGCAACTCGCCGAGAACTCGCCGATTTATTCGTACGAGTACGTCGCATTTACATAATATTCGTCTGTATTCAAATAATTTATATATATATATATATATATATATATATATATATATATATATATATATATATATATATATATATATATATATTGACTCAATAATATATTTAAATTTAATTGAAAATACGTTGAAAAGCTCTGTATAAAACATTATTTTACTCAAGCTTTTATTTACATAACATTGAAATTAACTTTTACTTTAATCAAATATAAAGTACTAAATAATAATTGTGGAACAAAATATCAAACATTTTTGGCATTTCAATTTTATATTAAATGTATAATAGGTATTTCTTAAACTATACTTGTGTCGGGAAGGTATTGTTTACCTGGAATAGTGAAGCGAAAATGTGATTGTTGTCTTCGATTGTTCGCCTATATGATATACTGTATACTGTATCACCTTATTTACGCGCGTGCACACGAAGTGCATTTTTAGGGAATGATTTTTTTAAATGTATTTTATTTGGTTACACGTTTTGTTTATTCGTGCTTTTAACAATTATTTGCATAGATAAACATAACTAATTATGATTATCATTGAAATAATTTTTTTTAGAATTCTTATAATACGAAAAAATGTTAGTTTTGTTTTTATGTTTTGTGCTGTTAGCTGGCTTTTTATCTCCAGTATAATAATAATAATAAATTTCATTATTTCAGACCTTAGATTCATATAAGTTGTTAGTTATACATTGCTCACCTTAAATAGTAATGTTAGTTCTTTAAATATGTGTAATCGCTTTTTAACAAATCGTTCCAATGATTAAGCATACTCGTATGCCCGTCACATCTTTCGGCGAACATGTTCATAATACTGTTGCGGCCGCTACGCATTCTGCTCAACAGCGAGTACACTCTTACGCATTATTGCGAAGAAGTCATCTGTTCGTGCTTCTGCAAACATCCCTGATGCGTTACAAAAGCGAGGCAGCCCCAACTAAGCCCTGAAAATGTTATTATATAAAACACGAAGGTCACTGTAAGCGCGCTTTGTATACGTTGTCCATAAGCTGCATGCGTAAAAAGATTGGCAGTAGGCTTTAGAGAGTGTAATCTTGACTTCTTTGCTGCACCGTGCAAACCTACGAATCAACATATTTCCACGGACCGACAGTGACCTTCGCTCCCTCTCGATGTCCATATATCATCTTTACAATTTTCAGTAATGTAGTGGCCTAGATATTTAAACTCTTTTACTCTACCTAGGGCAGTACCATTAAGCAAAACAGGAGGTACATTCTTTGAACACTTTTTTCCAGCTCTAAATACCATAAACTGGTTTTTCTTAGCATTGTATACTAAACATGTCTAACAGCATAATCCTCACAAACGCGTAATAATTTTCTAAGAGCACTAACAGACGGAGCAAGCAGCACCACATCATCTGTGTAACTTAAATTGTTTAAACATTCTCCGTACATAGCATCCGATATACATGCTGCTCAACTCACCGATTAAATCATTAATGTACAGGCTGAACAGATTCGGTGAGCTTAAGCCCCTCTGTCTCACCCCATATTCTGGTCTGTACGGATCATTTGACATTATTTATTTGATTGCTGTACCAATACTCGAATATGGCAACAAGTTCAGCATGCATCTCAGTTTTCCTCAACTTACTCCACTATATTTCATAGGACACCGTATCAAAGGCTTTTGACAGGTCTAGAAAACAGGCATACACAGGTGTTTTTCTGTCCGTGTAGTACTCAACGATGGCACTCTCTGTTGAAAGCCCAGTTCGGAAACCGAATTGAGCATAGTGTAACTGCAAATGTTTTCTTAAACTTGATGCGCAAGTAGACCGTCCAGTACCTTTGCTAATATTGTAGCCAACGATATAGGTCTATAGGTGGTTATGTCCGAGATGTCCCCAGTTTTGTTTTTGAGAATTGGCACAAGAATAGTCATTATATTATTAGGTAGATATCTATGTCGCAGGCACAGTGAAAAGAACAAGCCCAACACCCTAGGAAGATGGCCATGTTGTAAATACTCAATGCTAAGATCATCATACCGAGGAGACCTCCCCCTTATATTATTGCAGAGATTATGAACATGAAAAGGGGGAGGCCCTTTTCATGTTCATAATCACTGCACCACCTGTTTAGCAGTGAAGCGAACCGGGTTTGTGGCAGAAGGGACCTCCATTTAGGTTTTACAATTTATGGGTCCTAAAAGCTCTGCTTTAGGACCCATAAAACATTAAAATATTGCCTAAAATATTCAACAATCTCTTTTTTATCATTAGTGTTACCAATGCTGACATGAATACCAGGCCGCAGATTTAATTTATTTGTGGGTTTTAGAGATTTTAGAGTATAGAATTTTATATGTATGGTATTAGAAATTTACGTGTTCTCTTACCGTAGTAATCATTAGTTCTAATTAGTGAATAAGGTGTTTTACTCCTAGTGCTATAACTGAGTTCTTTTGTGGTTGGGTCCATCAAGTATGTCGCAAGTGTTCGCGGCACTGGCGATCGAATAACAAGCGCTCCGTATAAAATAAATGATTAAAATCTGTTATATAGATATTTTAATCGCTAGAAGTTAATTTATAAAGTTTTCCTATACTGATCATCAAGTAAAAGTATTTTAAATGTGTTTTAATTTCAATCATATACATTAAATCCAGCATAAAAAGTCAATGAAAATATGTTAAACTCACAAAAGTAGAATGTTTGTTTTTTAAACAGTGTATAAAAAAGTTAAGCCTAAATGTGTTGTGTTTAAATTGATTATTAAAACAAGAAAAAGTGACAGAAAATAAGTGAAAACAAACTTTTTTTTGCAAGAAATCGGTTAACGTTTCGAATAGCTAAAACTTTCCATGATCGATAACACTGTGCAAACCAACCAATCAACTGAGAGTAAATCACAAATACAAGTTATAGTAATGACATTTTTTAACCGCAACAAGCACTAATAAGTTGGTCAAACGGTCTAATGCGCTAGTAAAACTTCAATATGTTGTAAGATCAAATCCAATGGAATTACCAAAGAAAGATTTTTCTTTGTTGAAATAAATTTTGGTTTTAATAACAAAATGACAAAAAATGTGTTACAATTTAAAAAATAAACATAAGCAAATTAAATGATACAAGTGTTGGAACTTTACCTGACATAATATATAACTTTCATATACGCTACCTAGTTACATGTGTCTACGTTCGATAAAAAAAATCAAGTATACTTTGCGATTACAATATAAATTAACACAATCACAATTACAATTAAAATATATAATTTAACTTTAATAAAATACAAAATGTCTCTTGAAAATATTACTATAAGAAAACAAACAAAAAAAAAACCCGCTCTTTCAATGAATCACAAGATTCATTTGACTCAATCATGTCAAATTTAAGGTCAACAAGTTTACCTGATTTAACTGCAAATAAAAACGAGATAGATGAATTAAAAGAGCAAATACTACATTTACAAAATCAACTAAAGAGCGCAGATAATGAAATAATAAAACTGCTGGAAGAAAATAGTTTTCTGTCTAAAACTGTTAAGCACCAAGAAAATACAATAAATCGTTTAAAAAACATTTACATTCGATCACCCAACACACCTAACATTTATTTATTTATTTATTTATTGAAACTAGCAACTATCATGACAGGAATAACCTAATGCGACAGTGTAGTTCTTTTTATGCATAACAAAAAATGTAGAAATTAACTGTAACAAATTGTAAACAATCCCACCCTAGTAAATTCACTCAAGGAGCAATAGAATAGGTCAATGTCTTCCGCCATTCTATTAAGAATGCGTAACGTTCGCGTTAAAGGTGCTTTATCTAGTAAATTGGTTCGAGCGCGCGGAACGAAGAGCAGCCGCGGCCGCCGCCGTTTCCATACGTACCCGTCTGGAACACACAACCCAATCCGCCCCAATATGTCACTATTATATATTTTTCCCCTCAGCACTTTAAAAATATATAGGGCTAAGGCGAGGTCTCGTCTTACCCTCAACTCGTTGTAGCCAACCATACCCAGAATAAATAAAGTTGGGTACATTAATGGATACATAGGGTATACCCCATAATGGCGCATATATAGGTATCTAATAAATTTATTTTGCACCCGTTCTAGCATTGTGCTATACCTTTTTTCATGTGGTGACCATATTACAGCGTTACACTCCAGATTACTTCTTACCAGTGTATTATACATAGTAAAGATTAAATTAATGTTAGTAAAACCGTGAACTGTGCGAAGAATGAAGCCCAAGTTTCTATACGCTTTTTTGCAGCAATTGAGAATGTGTTCCCTAAATGATAATTCACTATTTAGCCGAACGCCCAGATCTTTAACTTCTTTAACTCTTACCATTGGCGAACCATCGACTTCATAGTTATATTCAATAGGCGTGCGCTTTCTAGTAAACGAAATGGTAACACACTTGGAGGTGTTAAATTGTAAACGGTTATTATTGCTCCATGCCACTACTCTGTTTACGTCCTGTTGTAGCTTTTCACAGTCTGACAATGTTTCTACGACATGATACAACTTCAGGTCGTCAGCAAAAAGAAGGCACCTAGATTGCTTAACTACTTCCGGCAAATCGTTAACCAGTAATAAAAACTGGAGTGGCCCTAAATTACTGCCCTGGCTTAGTCCAGATTTTGTAATATATGGGTCCGACGTATAGCCGGCATATTCCACGTACTGCTTTCTACCTGTCATATAGCCGGCAAATAATTTTAATAAATGTGGAGTGAAGCCAACTGCCGCTAACTTTTTTAGTAAGACGTCGTTATCCACTAAGTCAAACGCTTTTTTAAAGTCAAAGTAGGCGGCATCGACCTGCACCCCC